AATTCAAGTTATTTCGTCTTTTATTCCGTTTACATGAATTTTCTGGTTGCATTCTGTTGACCTAGGAAGCAATGATTTATTGTCCTTCAGGAAAATTAGGGGAGTTCTCAATTAAATTCTCGACGATTGCTTTGATTGTGCAGGAAACAAGGTTGAAGACAATTGCGGGGCAGTGCTTAGATGGAATCTCTGAGCTGGAACGGGGATCTCGCATTTTGGATCAGTGCACGATGGATCGCTACCGAAAAATCATAGTTTATAAAACGGCGTATTATAGTTTTCATTGTCCCATGATCAGCGGGATGCTGTTGGCAGGAGAAGACGATTCTGAGCTTATTGCTGCTGTCGGGAAGGTGCTTCTTCGCATTGGCGAATACTTCCAGACGCAAGACGACTACTTGGACTGTTACGGTGACGTGTCTGTAACGGGAAAGGTCGGTACTGACATTCAAGACGGGAAATGCACTTGGCTGCTGGTCAAGGCGCTAGAGATTGCTGACCAGGCTCAAAAACAGATCCTCGAGGAGAATTATGGACAGAAATCGACCGAGTGCGTCGGGAAAGTGAAGCAAGTGTACGAAGAATTGAATATTCAAGACGCGTTCAAGTCGTACGAGGAGCGGACGTTGAACGAGCTGAGGAACTCGATTTGTTCCTTTGACGCGGGGGAAACGGTTTCTATGCTCTTGCGTTCCATTTTGAATTTGATCAAGCGAAGGGATTGTTGATGAATGACGCATGTTTTCATGTGCTTTCGTCGTGGTCAGCATGAGAGAGACGGAAAGGGAAAGCTTTCAAGATCCAAGGAGCTTTCATTAGCGCTGTGCTTATAATCCAGGTTCGGGAATTCGATTCCCTGAATTTTTGTTGGTCGTCTTGTCGAATTCATGTGAAAAAGTCTAGTAACGAGGTTTTTGTGTGTGTGTATTTTGTCATTGAGTTATCTTTCATTCTTTCAAATTCTTCGACTGGGATGATAAAAGCGCTGCATTCAATTGTTTAATGACTGCGCTATTAGGTGACTGAGACATGGACAGGCTTCCAGATTATATCGACATAAAATGCGTGTCGTAAATTTAAATTTTTCTTTTGCCCTTCATTAAATGGAAGAAGAGTACGACTGGAAAGTCCTTGATTCATGAACTTCTTTAAGATCTTGATTATTTTTTCCCAATATCGACTTGATCAAAAGTGATACAAACATTTTGTGTTCAACTAATGTATCATTCAAGTGGGTTGTACTTCGCGTGTGGTTGATCGTATTCCGGTCGAGGTTCTGCTTTCACTTAATTCTAAATTGATACGATCGAACTACTTTTGTGCGGCGACTAAAGTTACCGTTTGTAATAATGCAATGGGGTAATAAAAGAACAGAATGAAAGAAAGGCGAATAAGTTCACGGTCACAAAGTTTCAAAGTGGGTCGTCCTTATTATAAAAAAAACGGGTGTTCCGTTTTATGATGAACGGATATATGAGAAAAGCTGTATTTTTGAGTCGATGGAGAAAGTATTCCGAGGATTTGCTCGCGTTTCGCTAACGTAGTCGAAATCTCCTTGTGATTTTTGCCGAACACTTCTTACGTAGGTCACTCTATACGACAGTTAAGCTACGACAAAAACTAGTTTTAGAAGCGCCGGTCACCACTCCTTCAAAGAACTTTCGGGCCATTGAAAAAAGAAGGTAGTACTACCTAGAATTTTTTTTCAATTTTTTGAGGGACGAAAAGCAGCTGTAGTTCTCTTCGTAGAGCTGCGGATATTTCTCAGATACCCGGTATTGATCAATTTTCAGCCCTGAGTTGTCACTGTGTGCCTGGGTTATGCAAGAGTAGAAAATGTCAATGTTTTCAAAATAAAACCCACAGAGCGGATCTCGTTCTAGTGTTATGCAGAGTTACCTCCATGTTTTCATAAGGAATCTTTTCTATATTTTTTGTTCAGTGCATATCTCATTCTTATTTTTGGGTATACTGTATCAAAGAGTCCACGTCTCCTTAGAAGTTTCCTAAAAAGAGGATTAGCCTCCATGGTTTAGGACTTCCTGGGAGGCGCGACCCAGGCGACCCTTTTATAGGATCTTTAATAGGACCCATCCTAAAAGCCCATCCTCCTAATAATAACCATTCGCCTCTGCAAGCTCGGAGACTCGAGGGTACCCGATTGCGGGAAGTTTGTGCTGGCCACCTCTAATTACAAACCACTTCTAAATATAATCTGAATTGTCTAGACTTGATTAAAACTTTTTCAACTTCATGTCATTCAACCTTCATACCACTTACATAGAGAGAAGCAAACTGCATCATTTTCCAACAGTTTGCAACAGCGCGCAGTTTTCCCTGTTTCAGTGTGAAGCATTGATTCCAATAGCTACTGATTTTGTTCCTGTAACTTGTGGCTTTTCCAGGCTATTGAATCAAAGTGAACTTCAATACAACAGTGTTTGATTTATGGGATATGTCTACACATTCATAAGGAATGGTACAATTAGAAATGGATCAGCCATATTTTTTGCCGGAAGTGTTATACACTTGGTCAAAAATGCTCAGTAACAGATTGTGAAAACCTCAAAGAATCCAGAAGATGACAACCACCCAGCTCATCTGAAGATGAGTGTATCCCAGCTCATTCCAAGTCAATTGTTGTTACTCAGCTGACCAGGGAAATGTTTAAAGAAACCACAAGAAAGGAAAATGTCCAAGAGAAGCTTACAGTGTAATTCATGGAAACATTCCCAAGAGCTCCCTAAGTAATAATTTGAAACTTTGCAGCTTTCTCAAATGTTCTTTGGCCTTCTTTGCACAAAATTATTTTCACAAGAAATGTAAAATCAAATATTTGGGATGAATGAAAATGTGCGCAGGGGTGAATGAGTTAGGGGGGGGGGGACAAAAATAGACACCGGAACTGTCAGTGATGTCCCCAAAATATTCAATGTATGAAAATAGTGCCAGGGGTGTGAATGGCCGCCTGAAGGAACTCTTACCCTGGGCTGAGGGAAATCCCTTTTTTTGGATGGGTAATCCTCTTTTGGAAAACAAGGGAGAGGCTTTGTTCATCATTGTAGAATAAAATCAGGAAAATATGATTTAAAATAGTTCAAGATTTTGAAGGAAACTTGTTTAATTACCTTATTAATCTGGGCACTTAATGAACATTTATCGTGTTTTTAATGCGGTAAACAGCTGCCTTTTCGCTGCTTTATTTTGGTTATTGGTGATTTTAGACAATGTGTGCCATAATTAATTTGTCTGTGACTTGCTATTCAATACTTTCGAGTTCGGATAAGACGTTTAGAACTTCTTGTGCGTTTTTTTTATCCTTTTGAGGAAACGCTTTGTAAGCAGCATGACTTTAGAAAAATGCAATTACAGAATCTGCCTGCTAGTCCGAATCTTTCCGGGTATTATTCTCCTTGGAAGTGCATACCCAAATCATTGCAATAAAATATTTATTTATTCATATTTTTCGTAGAAAATTGAAGAGCTTACTTTCATAAATCCCTTGGTTGGTATTCCGTGTTTCAAATGTTCACTTTCGAAATCCGCGTCATGTTTATCTTAGTTTTGAATGCCGTGAGATTATTTTCAAATTAAGCCTTGTTTTTTAGAATGCTGACGCTTCTGTCGTGACCAGACGGGGAATTTGAATTACGAGGTTTGGTTCAAAAGTTCCGTCGGTCATATGTTTCTTTTAACGGATTCCCGGTTGATGGATGTAATTTTCAATAAAAATTCGGGTATTTTTAAAATTCTCGTTTGCGTTGAAAGTTCAAGAACACGTTTCGAAAATGAGAAATAATATTGACCGGCCAGATCCGAATGTTTCTGGATTTTCAGATGAACGAACAATTTCAATGTTTGAAATAGTTCTAATACCAACTATCAGGGAACATATTCTATTATGTTGTTATGTCAAGTGTTCTAATCAGTCTTGTGCTATTTATTTTTAATCCAAATGTAGCCAAAAATTGCAATGGCAGGGCAAGAAGTGGCCCGTGTCAGGGCTGTTCGGGAAAAGTTAGTTAATTAACGGAGACGTGCTTTTTATAGATCCCCCGTCAATTTCGGAGATTCTAAATCAAAACTCGGAGTTCGAACGAACTTTATTTCAAGGTGCTGACGAAACTTTTAAACCGTTTCTCGTATGTCTTTGAAATGAGACGGATTGAGAGTATATTCGATTCCTCGCCGTTGCAACATGTGAGCTTATAGTTTTTGCTTCATCTCTCACACAGGATAGTGGATTGTGTTTTTGGTGATCCGCAAAGTTGTCGCGACTAGTGATATTCTTCGTGCGTATCCGTCGTGTTTATAAGCAGAACTGAAAGATTTGCATAACTTTTCTGCCTTCCGGTTCACAGAGAACCAACGATGTTCGGATTCTCGGAGTCATCGCGCTTTCTTCGCCATCATTTCGAGCTGAATTCGTCTTATTCTTCGAGTTTGGGGTGTGAGGGTTCTATGACCGGGCATCCTTTGAATGCTGATTTTTTGGGATGGTGAGTGTCACCTGTTGGATTTTTATTCGCAGATTCGCCTTTAAACTGGTGCCCATTCATATTCCTTGAATGGTTAAACAATTTCTAGTGATGTACTATTTTTCTGTCATTTAAATGATTTTGGTGGGATTTTGTATTACAGTACTGCATCATCGCGGACTTAAATAAAATAATCCTCACAAATATTGCGTATGAGTATCACTGATATGCATGCCCGTCTATGGAGTGGTTTTTGTTCGTACCAGCTTATTGTGAGCAACGCTTTTCATATTTTTAATCTAATTTAGCCTTTCTAGTCGTGATTTCAAGCTGAATAAAACTTTCGTAAACCTCAAGCCTAAATATTCAGAAACTATTCGGACTCCACAAGTTCTTCGTAGTTTCGACGACTCAGCAGGAATCTTATACGAATTTGAATTCTTGTCTAATCATTTTCGTTTGCTGGACTTGTTGACTGCAATGCTCATTATTATGCAAAAGAATTCCTGCAAGTCACTTCTAAGATTTAGAGTTTACTCTTTTGGTCGGGAAGAAGGGATTATTTGTGAAATATTTTTGAATGCATCAGTGTGGACTGAGGTAGATTAGGACGCATTCAATCATTTTCGCTCACAGTTCGATTACGAGACTCTCATAACCAGCAAGGATTCAGTTCCCAAGTTGCTCCGGATACATTTACGGTAGTTCCTTCTAAGGATTTTTCTCAAGTTTTCCCTCAATTCTTGTACCTATGTAATTCTTAACTTTTTTTCAACCATGGCACCATACCGATTTCAAATTTAGAAAGTGACGGAAGATGTTTGAGAATTGTTGGATTTTATCACGTTGTTGTTCTTCAATAATTTTTTCAACTAATACTGGGTAGTCTTTTGATTGAATTATTCTGTCGGACTAGAAGGTCAGAGTGAGCATTCAATTTAGGTCAAGTTTTTGTTCTACATTTAAGCTTTACAAGATTTTTCCATTTCTTATGCCGACTGTAAGGTCGAAAAATATTCGAACGCTCGCAGGATCTTTTAGTAATGTCTGAAAGCATGTAAAATGTTCGAGTTGTCTCTGATGATGGAAATCGTTCGAATGAGACTTGATTTTTTTTTTTTTTTTAAAGACCCTCTGAAATGTAAGATGGGAAACAAGTCGAGAGAACAAATTGTTTTCGGGCTTTTTCTCCTCAAATTTGAGCTAGTTGAATTAAATATTGTTAGTAATCATTTTTCAAGTGTACTGTATTTGTAGTCATGGTGTATCCATACTTTTTTATATGCCTCAAATTGAAAACCGTTGACTGTCGATCTAATGTCGTTCGCAGGAAATGTCGAAGACTGCGTTGCGTCCCGAAGAAGTGGAATCCGAAAGAAAAATCTTTCGGGATTACCACAATAGCTTTATCGACGAGCTTACCACGCTTCCGAAGATTTCAGAAGATTTACCAGAGGTTATATTTTTCGGCACCTTGGGTGCCGATCTTTTATGACAGTACAATATTTTGATTCTTTTTCCCCTTCTCGTCTGTTTCAGGTCTCAGACTGGTGGAGAAAACTATTGTCATACAATGTTTGCGGTGGAAAGATGAACCGGGGATTCATGGCATACCTGACTGCCGTGGTCTTGTCAGAGGAGGTTAGTGATGTTGGAAACCAGGTTATGCGGGATTATCTGCTCATGAAAGCTTTTAAATTTTTGCTGCAAAATGTGTTGAGTATCCTCGGAAAAGAGAGAGAGATCCGCGCTGACATATTTCGGGGCAAAATTTGCGAGAAAGAAAAACAAACGAAAAACGTTTTCCTCTGGTTTTTGTGCCGGTCAATGATAAAAACACAAAATAAATGACCTTCCGTGGGAAGCTATTTCGTTTCGTAGATGTCGCTTTGGGTCCTCCAGAAGTCCAGAGATTCTAAATAGACCAGACTTCTGATTTTGTGGCAACACTCCTTTTATGGACTTGATCCCTCCAGTGGGATTCCTTTTTCCGGAGGTTCTATTTAGAGAATGAAGGAAAGGTGTACAGTATATCGTTCGAATGAGTATACTTTGGTAAATGTGTTCCAAATTCGTTGTAAATGTCCTACTTGAAATATTTGCTTAATGAAATTTGTTTGAATTCATTCAGGAAATGAATTCAACAAAAATACTCACGAGACAAGGAGAGCACTGAATATTATCGAGAATAAGAAAAATATATATTCCCTGCTTGAAAAATTGGTCTGGTGGCCACATTTTCGTGATCAACCTACCACAGTATTATTTTTTATGTATGGACGAGCAATTTTTTTTTGTCCGTTGTCCGAATCAATATTTGAAAGCAGCTGAGTCTATTGTGCCATTCGTCAAAATTCCGGGGTACCCCTGTAATACGCTCTGGAGTTCATTGAAAATCTCGTTACTGCTTGGCTTCGCTGCGAAGCACATGCTTCCAGTTCCTATCGAGTTGATCTCTTATAAACGACGGTTTCCAGACAGGAAAGCTGACGGAGGAATATCGACGTTCAGTAGCCGCAGTGGGCTTTGGTCTGGAAATGATGCAGGCGTCTTTTCTCATTGACGACGACGTTATGGACAGGTCCGAAACGAGGCGTGGGAACCCCTGCTGGTACCTCGTAGAGGGTGCGGAGAAAACGATGTTGGCAGATTCTTCCGTCGTTGATCTATTGGCACTCACATTGTACCGGAAGCATCCAAATTATCGTAAAATTTGTGATCTATACCGAGTGAGTGGTTCTTTTTTTCTCGAAAATTATTTTTCTACATTACTCTTCGAATACTGTAATTTGTACGTGCATCCTTTTCATAGCTTTGTCCATTTGGTGTTGAAACGTTCAATCGATTTGGTGAAAGAAACATTCATTTCCTTAACCTCCTTAAAATTTTTTCTGCGTTGAAGTTTTTTGGTTGACCTCGAGAGATTCCTTCTGAATGGTGTTCGAAGCGTTCTACTTGGGACAAAAACTTTCCAAACTCCGTCGTGAAAATCTTTGAGACTGTAGCTACGTGTATTTTGCTTGTTTATCTTGTAATCGTCATAAAACATGGAAAAATGGGTAACTACCTGAAGCTATTACAGGAAAGGAAATCGATAGGGATAGAAACCGGTGTTTGTTTATACGTAGCTAAAATAGCTTTCTAATTTGAATACGATTAAATTTGCATATTTTAGAAAGTGACGCTTCTTTGTTCGCAGTTGATACAATTATGAGAACCTCATATTATTTCTGAAAAATCTGAATACATATTTTGAATGGTGTATAGAGTGATTACGAGTATTCTCGGGATGTAGCCGCCCCTAACTAACTGCCAGAATGTCAAATGTCGGACACAATTTTCATGAATTGCGTACAACCTTCTCTTTTGTTCTCGAATTCACAGCTGACAAGATTGAGAACTCAAGGTGGGCAAAGTTTAGACGTTCTTTCCGAGCCAGGGCGCTGCGAAAATATGCTAGATCGTTTCGACATGCCTCGCTATCAAGCTATCATCAAATACAAAGCCTCTTTTTACACCACCCATTGCCCTGTGATCACGGGAATGCTTCTTGCCGGTGAAGATGACCAGGGTGTACTTGATGAAGTCGCCAAGATCTTGTTTGCCGTCGGTTCGTTTTATCAAGTGCAAGACGACTACCTGGATTGCTACGGGGATGTGTCTGTGACTGGCAAAATTGGTACGGATATTCAGGACGGAAAGTGCACGTGGTTCATTGTCAAAGCGCTAGAAAAGGCGGATCAGAGACAGCGAAGGATTTTGGCGGAAAACTACGGAAAGAATTTATTAGGAAGCGTGAAAAAAGTCAAAGAGGTTTACGATGAATTGAATTTGTTGAGCGTTTACAAATCTTTTGAAGAGAATAGTATGAGCGAGTTCAAGCAAATGATCGCATCGTCTCCCCTTGAGGACAGAGTCAAGATGCTTCTGCAAACGCTTTTGAATATTCTTTGTGGACGAGAAAAGTAGTTTTCCGCCAAAATCGACGATTGGTAATTCGAGAAATCTGATGAACAACTGACCTTTTTTGGGAGGGTTACGGGAACGTGTTTTTGGGAATCATTCGAGTTCAGTTTTGCCTAATGTATTTAGCAATCGTAGTGTTCCTGCGATTCATGAATAAATCTTGCGGGCACATTATTAATTTTTTTATGCGTCGATTGTGTCGCCGAATATGTGCTCTATCCTCTGTGCACTTCAGGACTACGCTCTTCATACTCTCCGAACTATACAGGAAAATACGTGCTCCTTCGTCCCTTTTCTAAACCCTAGCTCTCGAAATTTTTTAAAAAGCTCTCACGGAATCAAAGGAAGCAGTTCATGTTTCTGTATTCACTCCATGAGTCCAAATCACTTTTCTTACCGATGTTGGCTTGTGTAAAGTCCTGGCAAGTAAAATTCGATTTTATGTGATGTACCGTAGCCTATAAAATACCTGCTTCTGTGTGGGGAGAAGTTTTTTGACGGTCCATGGGAAATTTTCTTCTGCATAGTAAACTCATCAGAAGTTGCAATGAAGTCTGCTATCTTCACCTGAAATTCTGGGAAGACAAAGGCAGTTGAAAAATAAAACTTGACTTTTCTTGCAATACAGATAAATTTTCTACAGATAAATTGTCATCTGCTGAAATAAATTATTTAAAATGTTCATTTTGAAAAATCTTTCTTCAAGACTCCCTTTCTAATTTTTTCAAAACATTTCACGTTATCTGCTTCATTGGTTCTTAACTTGATTGTTTCAAAAAATCAGAAACTTTAAATGCCTGCGATGAAGTCTTTCAAACAAAACTTTTTGAGTCCACAAGCATTTTTTTTAACTTTACAGGTCTGCAGAACATTTTTGGAAATTTTCAGGTCTGAACAAAAATGTTATGGACATTAGCTGAGTGACAGGCTCAAAAAGGTTGGGGAACACTGCTAAAGAAAGTATAGTTGGACCCCGAGATCCAGACATAATTGGTGCATGCATCTTGTCCCTAAGTCAAAGCATCTGTATGTTTTCCCGTACAATTCAGTGGGAATATTTTTCATTGGTTCTCCTGTAAGAAAATAGGTATAAAAAAGTCCATTAAAAATTGAATAAAATAATTTTTCTCAACTTCAGAGATACAGAAAATAAATGTACAGAAGAAAACCTCACAGAATCTGATCTTCTGGCATCAGAAGGAGCTCAAGAAGCATAGACCAAGAGCAAGTCTTGAAATACTGAGTTCACATGGTGGAAAAAAAGAAGTCCAAAGTTATCCTGTTTTTCATTATGAATCAAGGTAATTTTACAAAAAAATTTATTTTCAGCCTTTTCAATTGTAAATACTGTACCTTAATTTCTTCAAGAAAAATAAATTTTAAATTATTCCAAAACTCCTTGAAAAATGTCTATCTCTCAATTCACTGTCTGGATGTTGGGGGTGGATTTTTTTTCAGTTCCATTCTCCCCAAGTCAAATTGTCCCTACGTTGGGGTGTCTGTAGTTTGCAGTTCCACTGTATCAATTGAGGTTAGCCTTACAAAAGCCTGCTATAATAGTCTAGCCCCTCCTAATTTGTTTCCTCTCCTCCAGCAACTGTATTTCTTAAATTCTATCTCTTTTCAGAATGAATTAATTTTTAGCTAATTTCCTCATGTTCTCAGTGCACTTGAAAATACAGATTTTTTTGGTACTCACATTCATTTTCCGCTCATGAGACAACACTTCCAGGATTTATGAATAAAATTCCTTGTATCTTTTGTTTGAGGACAGGAACAAATAAAGAATAACTTACGAAAATAATGATATGCAGAAAAGTATCTGGATTGTCTCCTCAAAAAATAGCAAGATTTGAGAAAATGGTGGGTGGCACATGGGACCCAAAGCTTCAAAAATCACTGTTTCAATTTGGTCTCATTTAGCACTCCATACTGAGATGAATGGAAGCATTCACTGGTTGGGAACACTGTTCTATAGGATTCCAAATCACACTCGAAAGTGACTCTCATTTGACACTGATACCAAAAGGTAGGAAAGTTTTTTTTTTATTGTTCGCACGAGACTCGACAGGGCACACTTAGGAAACTCGGCGGAACTACTGCATTAGCTGAACTTAAAACCTATGCTCTTGACTGACTTTCGTGATCTGCATTCCTTGCTCTAAGAAAATTTTTCGCGAGTTGTTGTGAACCTTTTTTTCTTCTTCACAGTTTGTGAAAACGTCGACTTCTGGGGGGTCTTCGCAATTTATCCGATTTTCGAATATGCATGTTCGTCCTTGGTGACATTCGATCAAGTCCTCAGAATTCTTCATGTAATGGTGAGTTGGCTGAATTGCTGATTTTTCCTAGGTTTTGTTAAATCGCTTAAATTTGCTACCGAGGAATACAAATTTTCGAAATTCAACACAGCGAATGACTAATGTTGAATGAATTCGCATTTCTTCCTTTTCCAAGTTCTGTTCCAGAAAAAAAGCTTTCGTTTGCAATTATTCAGCAAAATTACTTGGGTATTCAGGTCTTGGAAAGATTACCAATTTAAATGACGTCTTTGCGATAATATTCATGATAAACCCCGAAGAGAATTAGCTTGTCAAGGAATCAGTAATGCACTGTGATCCTCTCGGTATATAAGAAATTTGTGTCGGTTCTTCCGCTCAGTGAATGTATTTTTTTATCAATAAATTGAACTTGCTTCCATTTTTCTCCTCGTTGTCTTGCCCAGATTCTTAGGTAAGTGTTACGTTTTCGAAGAACTCTGATGGGAAACACAGCTGGCTTTTTTTTTCTCGTAGAATGGAGTACTCTACGTGCTTATTCATTATTTCTTACAGTATTCTACTTTGTGAAAAATTGGAAGTTTCGATTTCTTATAATTTACACATGCTTACTCGGCGTTTCTTGTGAATTTGAGATAAGTGCTTCAATACTAAATTAGATTTAGTGTGGTTTGCACAAGTAAATGGATGACCAATCACCAAATTGTATATGCGGTTAAAAAATGCTGTTCAGTCCTGCGATCTTTTAGCGTGGAAAGATTATTTTTGGAGAATTATTCTGCATCTCTCTGCTCTGCTTATCTTCTGTTGATTTAAAATTCGAAATAAATTCGGCTTAAGTTTTAATCTTCGCAATGAAATATCAAGGTCATTGGCTTCCGATTTCAGGTCGATCAAAAAAATGTCAAAAACCGCAATAACTCGAGATGAGGTGGAATCCCAGAGGAAACAATTTAATAGTTACCTCAGTGGCTTCATCGAAGAGCTGGCCGCTGTTCCTGAAATTTGTGCGGATTTTCCAGAGGTGATACATGTGATTCAAGAAAATTTAGAAGAGAATCACATTTCAAATCATCTTGCAGGTATCAGTCTGGTGGGAACAAATGTTATCCTACAACGTCAAAGGCGGAAAGATGAACCGAGGATTCATGGCTTATCTTTCGGCTGTGACTTTGGCTGAAGAGGTCAGTGAGATCGGAAACAGAGCCAATAATAAATTGTTCGCTACAAAATGGTTGAGATATTCCTAATGCGAGTACATTTTTAAAAATTGGAATACTGTGCATCATAATTTGTAGCTCTCTTTTTACGATCGATGCAGTGTAGAGGAACAGTCTAGAGGAAACGCTGCTTTAAAAACAAAAGGTACTTTTTATCAGAAGAAGTCACGGAAGGAACGTGCATTGTTATTACTATTTTTTTTTTAATTTTGGCCCTTCTTTCAAATTTAAACTTTGATACTGTCCGGACGCGAGAGGAAGCATCTTCATCGTCCATATTAAAATACATTCCCGAAATTAAAACCAAAAATTGAAAAGAATAAAAATACGCGAGATAATATCTTCGAAAATTTGCAGTTTTTGCTGCTAGGGGGTACGTGCCAAATATTGGGCCTCAAACCGTATTTGCTAAACTTGAAATTTTCCCATTTTCCAGAAGGGGAAGCTAACGGAGGATTTCCGCCGTTCTGCAGCTGCTGTGGGCTTCGGCCTGGAAATGATGCAGGCTTCTCTACTGGTGGACGATGATATCATTGACAAGGCAGAAACCCGGCGTGGGAAGCCCTGCTGGTACCGAGTCAAGGGTGCCGAAAAGACGGCATTGATAGATGCTGCCGCCATTGATCGTTTGTCGCTCAAGTTGTACAAAAAGCATTGCTGGGCTAATCCAAATTATCGTAAGGTTTGCGATCTGTATAGGGTAAGTTATTTCATTTGGTTTTTCCCCTGCTTTTGTTTTCCTACCTTCGCCATCTTAGAGACTTCAGAAAATGTTAATGAAGTCTCTGTATGTTCCTGTTCTCTGTAACTGTTCGGATGCTTCATTTATGTTTCATTTAATTTTTTTCGATTCATGACGAGCAATGTAAGATGGATTTTAATCGAGCACACTCAATTTTCCTTTGAAATCGTGGTTATGTTTATCATGGCGTACACGTGCTTTTAATTCGTTTTCAATTAAATCCGATTTTGAAAGTGACTGCTATTTTAAATTTTCAAGTTATGGAATTCATTTGATTTTTTTTGCCTCTCAGATCGGATCTGTTGGGGTAATCGAAAGGGTTTTTCAATACTGTAGTTCTCGAATTTTCGCAAGTCAAACTTTCAGAGATAAAAGTTTTGAAGCGCAACAGTTTTATGTTGAGTGTGAATGTTGCAACTCATGGACGAGACTCATTCTTAATCTGCTGCACTTCGGATGGTCGTCAAACTTGATGACTTTTTTTCCCTTTCCGGATACTTTAGACGACGTTCTCAAATCATTTTTATTCATAAATTCTTTTTCGTTTCTACAGCTGACCAGATTGAAAACTATGTCTGGACAAACTTTGGATGGACTTTCTGAGCCAGAGCGCTGCGCTGACATGTTCAATCGATTCGACATGCGTCTGTATCAAGCAATCATCTTGAACAAAACAGCTTTCTACTCTGTCCAGTGTCCTGTGATCATCGGAATGCTTCTTGCTGGCGAAAACGACCAAGGTGTACTTGATGAAGCCAGCAAGATCCTGTGCCTCATAGGTTCATATTTTCAAACGCAGGACGACTACTTGGATTGTTACGGGGATGTCTCTGTGACGGGAAAAATTGGTACGGATATTCAGGACGGAAAGTGCACGTGGTTCATCGTTAAAGCGCTAGAAAAGGCCGATGAGAGACAGCGAGGGATTTTGGCGGAAAACTACGGAAAGAATTCACCAGAAAACGTGAAGAAAGTCAGAGAGGTTTTCGATGAGTTGAATTTGTTTCACGTGTACAAATCTTGGGAGGAGAACGAGATGAACGTTTTGAACCAGATGATTGGATCGGCCAGTCTCGAAAACACGATCCAAATAGTACTGCGTGCTTTTCTGAATATCCTTTCAGGACGAGAGAAATAAATTTCCGCCGTAATCAACAATGGATGATAGCATGAAAAAATCATGGGGGAAGTTTTTGACTCCGCATCGGTTCATGGGAAAGCTTTTTGTGTATCTGACTATTTGAAAATTCTCGTACGGTTCCGCTTTTCTTCGAATAGTAGCAGTGTCATTTTTTTTACGCTATTCAAAAATACAATTGGTTAATATCGTTTATGAGGTGCTGTTCTTCAGTTGCTTGGACTTCCTTTCAGTTCCGAAATTGTTTTCGAATCATGATTTTAAGCTTCTCTCTGCTTTGTTGAAGAAAAAGTCCGTTTTTCTGTCACTTTGAAGTATTTCGATGGAATAGAACGTTGCAAAAGGTGATTGGTAAACCGAGACGAAATCAATTGATGCACTGAGCGATTGAGCTTTTCAAAGCCGTGGTACTGTTTTTCAAAAAAAGATTTTTTTTTAATAAAACACAGCCGTGATGCACCGAAGATTTCCGAAGGATGCTAAATTCTATTCACAGCTTACTACAATCCGTGACTGCATTTTTCGTCATGCTCATGTTATCTGAAGGAATGTCCGAAGATATCACATTTATTTTGCGACCAGCTAAAAATTAATACAGTTCAAAGCGCATTCGCACAAGAACAATATTCGTCTCCTCTGGAGTATGCTTCGAAATATCTCGTGCCGAAAGTCGATTTCAACCGTTCTGTTCAAAAACGTATATCAGAGTATTTCGGTTGTCACTGGGACAGCGACATTTATTTATGTTTATTATTATTTTTTGCTGTACAAGTATGTGTTGATGCATTTGTATTTTATTTGTGAGGCTGATTCAAGTTTTCCGACCATCCTGTCATCCTGTCCGACCATCCTGTGGTGTGCCAAATGAGACGTAATTTTCAAATGTGATTTTAAACCCTCGTGACCCACGGGTCACCCATTATTTGCCTAAATTGCTGCTGGTTTTTTTTTAAAGAAAAAATCCAGATACTTTTAGGCTTATTATCATTTTCTCTGAGGAGTTATTCATTCGTTTCTGTCCTCAAACGAAATATACTATACAAGCAATTTTATTCAGAAATCCGGAAGTGTTGTCACATGAGTCGAATACGAATACTGAAAAATTGGCAGGTCTTGAGTGTTTTAAGAACCTGAAGACACTGGCGGAATAGTGTGTCCTGTCGACGTGAGATATTTTGAAGAAGTAATGAAAAGTCTCTCAAAACTGAGGAAAAATTGAAGGGTAAAATCAAATAATCCTTAAATGCTATCTAATGATTGATGCCGTCCGATGAAGAGTTGCGTTAGCTTTTTTTTAGGGTTTCTAATCACTCTCGAAACTCTCCGATTTTATGCCAATGCTAGAGAAGGTGTTGAAAAAATGGCAAAAAAAAAAATCAGCGATCACTGAACAGACGCATCAGGGCACACTTGGGCTGCTCGGGACTAATAATCACCGTAATTTGCTGAAGCTAAATCCGATGCTGTTGAGTGAAGAAGGGTTTTTCCCTCATTCTCGTGTTCTGTCTTCAATTCCCCGAAGAAGTTATTCGGTGAATTATGTACATCTTTCTTTACAGTTTGTGAAAACTTCGACCTCAATGGCTCTCCACATCGTTGCCGATGGTTCAATATGCATCAGTGCCCTTGATGGTAGAACTCGGTCAAGTCCTCGTTGAAGATTCTTCATGTAATGGTGAGTTGACTGAATTTATCAGTTTTCTGAATCGCTGAAATGTGTTAATATGCGGCATTAATTCAAGAGACCGAATGATTTATGTCGATTAAATTCAAATCCTCGCTCTTTTTTTATGCGTCTTGCAAGAACATACCTGTTTGATCTGTCATTATGAAGCAAATTACTCTTGCTTTCAGTACTCGAAAGGACCGATTTGGCAAAGCGTTCGCGACGTTATTCAGTGAAAACCTGATGTGATGACCTTGATGAACGAATTGATACTGAAGTGTCATCCTGTCGGTATAGAACTTGGGATAAAAGGAACTTTTTCTCGATTTTGAGCAGCATAACGATTGCTATAGGCTCCCCATTTCAGAGTGTCCGGAAGCATTTCCCTAAATTGTGATTTAGTTCGCCACGATCGCGGGAAAAAAATTTGAAAATTCCGGCTAATGCCAAAAGCAGCTTTCCTGTTTTTTATTTTACATTTCCTATTATAGAAACTATCTAAAAATAAAATTCTTTTAATATGATGTCATTTGACTCTTCAGAGGAAATTCGTCTGTCGATATAAATGTTATTTCAACGAGGACGAGCTGCATTCGAGCCGAAATGCTACAATCGGTCGTTAATGGAATATTTATGAGGCGAATAAACAGGAAGAAAATTAAAATAAAATTATTGAATCTGATGTGTCACTCCTAAAAATAAAGGAAGCTTCGGCTGGCTGCTTGCGAATCATTCAAAGGTGTTCAGATCGTTGAACAACTCTTGTGTTTTCGTCGATCATAATTTTCTCTTAAATTCAAGAGATAAAGTTGATAATTTTTCAAGTCCCCATGATTCATGAAAAGTTCGCGATGTTTTTTTCCTATTCTTATCCTCGACTGATTCAAAAATGAGAACCTTTTCACCGTCAAGAAATAATTCGCTTTGAATTGAATAGAACAAGTTTCGATGCTTTTCTCCACTTGTGAAGGATTGTAAAAATGCCGAAAGTTATCCTCTCTCATGATGACCTGGAATCCAAAAGAAAGGAATTCTATACCTACCACAATACCTTCATTGAAGAGCTATTGTCGTATCCGGGTATTTCTGGAGATTTATCGGAGGTGAGTACGATGTATACAGGAACGTATTTATCGCTTTTGTAATTCTCTTGTTTTGATTCACAGGTTGTTGATTGGTGGAGGAGAGCTTTTGAGCACAGTCTGACCGATGGACAGATGAATCGAGGATTTTCTGCCTACTTGACTGCTGTAACCTTAGCAGAGCAGGTTAGTAAATCTTCGAAAGTTGGATTCATGTCTTATGTAAAACGTGTTCTAAATTTTGTCTGTCTTCTCATCACGATGGATAATTCAAATATTTATTTCTCTTTCGCGAATCTAATGCATTTGCCGATCTAACTAAATCAATGCATAATTATCTGCATCATTAAAGGATATGCAAATACAGTAATCAATTTAGCTTCCCTTTAAGTTACAAAACCGGATTAGTTATTGTTGTTTTTTTTTCAGTATTTTTATACTGTATTAATCGTCGGTGCCGTGTTTTATGAGTTAAGAATCTGAACGGTTTTTAAAGTGTGTGACGATGTTAAATTATTTGGTTTCAAAAATAATGTGCGATCATATCATTTGAAAATTTTGGGTTAGGGCGGGAAGCTGACCGATGACTTCAAAAGATCAGCTGCCGCACTTGGTTATGCCTTGGAAGTACTACGAGAATCATTCCTGATAGAAGAAGACATTGTTAACAAGTCTGAAACCAGAAGGGGTCGTCCATGTTGGTACCGTGTCGATGGTGTGTCAATGATGGCCATTAATGATGCTGGTGTCATGGAATCCTTCGCTCATGAACTCATCAAATTTCATTGCGAGGCCAACAAAAATTACGAAAAGATTTTGGAAATTTATGAGGTACTGTACCTGGAACTGAAATAGTTTTACAGACTTCACATATTTTTTTATGACTGCTGAAAAACTATCTTCTAGCTTTCTATTTTCGGCCAACTGGGTTTTTTTCAAGAGAGTCTGAAAATTGCTCATATCTGAACTTTTTTCATTGGAAAATGTTTGTCGAATGTGCAACATTGTTACAGAAGATTTTTTCAATCTTTCGAAATATTTTTGAAAGCCTTGAATTTTGTTTGCAACTTCAGTAAAGTTTATTTCGTGAAAAGGATAAGGTGCATTTTGAATTGATTTCCTGCTAGGTTTGGGCTGGAAGAATACTGAGAGTTCAAATAGTGACCAGATAATTGTAGAATTTTACTTTTTGAAAATTGCTCCAACGGTATTCTCGTCTATCCATCCAACGAAACCCGAACAAGAGAAGCGCCAGACTGACTTATTTTGAACTGATGTAATAAGCATCTCACTGCCCCGGTATCTAAAATATTGTGAATGTATTTTAAGGACTCACAATTGAAGGCACTTGCTGGATACACAGCCGACGTTTTGTTCGAGTCCAAGCGCAGCACCACATTCCTTGACGAGTGCAAGTTTAGCCGGTATCGTAAAATCGCCGAATTCAAAACCGTCTACCCCAACATTTACTGTCCAGTGCTGGCTGGAATGTTGCTTGCCGGTGAAGATAACGAGAACAAAATCGAAGAGTGCGGCAAAATCCTTGTGGCCCTTGGAGAATATTTGCAAGCTCGAGACGATTGCTGCTCTGATGCGACGAAAACTGGTGAGAGCATAATGAATGGAAAATGCTCTTGGCAGTTGGTGAAGGCCTTGGAGCTGGTCAACAAGACTCAGCGTAAGGTTCTGGAAGAAAACTACGGGAAGGCGTCGTCGGAGTGCGTTAATAGAGTCACGGCCGTTTTCAAGGATCTGAATATCTGGGATGAATTCAAGGCTTACGAGAAAAAGGCCTTGATCGAATTTCACGACATGATCAACGCGAGCTCTGTCGGGGAAACTGTGTCGACTTTGTTGCAAACGATTTTAAAATTATCCAAGTGACGGTAGATTCTAGTTCGCCTTTTCGAGGATAACCCAACAATTATCGTATTCAATATCGACACTCGTTTTGTCAATTTCATTGTTCTCCGTGGCATCTTCAGCTTTTAATTAGTTTATTTACTATTGAATAAACTGGCTAGAATTCATTTCGTGTATTTTCTGCTTGGATTGTATGGGGTGTCAGATTTGCCACTATCGAAATATCCTTCGTCTTTCATGATTTACGATCGAAAAGGTAAAGCAAAAAATCAACGCGGGTGGCGTTGATCAATCTGCACTGAAGTCGAGGTGAGCTTTTGTCACCTGGAATAATTTTTTGGCACCCAGAGAGGACCACAATGTGAACCCAGGTATGAAATACGACCAGATATTTTCATGTTATTTCGACTTCAGATTTTGTGTTGTTTTTTTTCATCTTTAACAACCCTTTTTGAATATCTGTAAGAAAAGGAATGTGTCTTGAATGTGTCAGCCAACTTTAGAAAAATCAAGGCGCGTCGTAAAGTCACGCAAATACGTCAACTACGAAGATATGTTGTTACTTTATTTGGTTTTTGTGCTCATTTTATTCTGCAAAATATTTAACTTTTTTCCCAATTGGTATTCAAAATTATGCACGCCTTCTTTCACCTGGGAAAAAATGCAATCATCGGACTCGTGCTTTTGTGCCATTTGCAGCTCATCCTCTATAAATCCGTCGGAATGATCTTGAATTTCTCAAGTTTCGAAAAACCTTTGACCTCTGAAACATCGCGAAGATAATAAATAAGTCGCTTGAAATTTGGAACTATTATGTAATACTGTACATCTTACAAATATTATGATAAGGTCAGAAGCTCAGAACCTAGCGGTTTTGTCGAATCATCGTTCTTCGCGAAGCAAATTTGTATATATTTATATTTACAATATATATGTTTGTATTGTATCTGTATTTATATCTGGTCAAGTATGACGCTCGAATCGCTGCTTACGCCACGTCGTTAATCAGAAAACTTCGATGAACAGCGTGCTTATGAAATAAGGTTAGATTTCGTTTGCCTAAATTCTGTGAGAGGTTGAAAAACTCGAGACGTAATTTTCGCTTCTATGTCACGTATATTGTATTGCGTTTCGTGTGTGCGAAGTTTGTTGAAAATGTTCCGCAGTTTCACCGTATCGCTTCTCTAGGTTCGTCAAACTGACATCTGCGCATGCCGGCTTCTGATTAATCCTGCTTTGATTATTTCCAAAGTTGGAATTTGATGGGATCATTTATTTCTGTTTCTGTGTAACCATGTCCATGCGGACCGGCTGAAATTTCAGAGAGGAGTGATTAGGTCGAAATATGTAGTGATGAAATTTTCTGAAAGTTTTTAACGCGATGCAGCATCATTACCCACTACAGTATATTTCTATGAATTTCAGTATTCTCTGAAAGAGTTTCCGGATTTTCCACGTCATACGTGTACAGGGATTAATTTACTCAATAGATCCCTCGACAAGCTTCAGTGTGACAGGGTCGGAAATCCTTGAAAATCCGGTCAGGTGAAAAATTTATGCTGAATTTTTGACCTTACGAATTTTCTTCCCTATGATCCTGCGTATAATGGTCAACATTTCGTTGCTGCATTCATTTAACGTTGTTTCGATTTCCAGAATTGTTGCGTAATCGAATGATTCATTGAATTCGGAATTGTCGAACTGAAGTGAGTTGGAAAAAATGAAATAATTTATGCTCTTTCTGGCGATGTTTAGTCTTCGGAAAATTCAAGGAAATTTTTTTTAGCCTTTTTCCGAAGTGATTGCGACCAGCCGATTCATTGTATCATCTGTTGGAAACAATTTTTGTGAATGAAAATGCTTCTAAATCCCAGGAAGACGGTTGTATGACGCGTAGGAACTCCGTCAATGTTCATTGATTGTACGGTACTCCATGTTGCAGCAAATTCCAGAATATTCTTAATGCGCTTTATGTGTTGAGAGTCGCAAAGAATTGCGAACTGCGCAGTTATTTTTGTTACTAAATTATTCTTTTCCAGAAATACGGTTTACCCCGCGTCGATCGCGCAGTTATCTTCATTAGGATATCGTTCAGGATGATGAAAAATGTATTTATTTATTCTTCTTCAGAAAATAACATTCCGTTTATCGCGTTCGCACAAAAGGAAAATGCTTCGTTATGTGAAAGTGAATAAGATCGGCGAGGGTACTTACGGAGTAGTGTACAAGGGTCAGGACAAGAATGATCGGAATCGTTTCGTCGCCCTCAAGAAGATTCGTATCGAATCGTGAGTTCCTCTTGTCCAGTGATGTAAATGGTTTCTTAATGTAGATCTGTGTGTCCGTTGTCTCCGCAGGGATGGCGAAGGAATTCCGAGTACCGCGTTGCGAGAAATCGCCGTGTTGGTCGAGCTGGACCATCCGAATATCGTTCGACTGTTCGAGATTGTGCCTTGCGAATTTGATTTTTATTTGGTTTTTGAATACATGGATATGGACTTGCGGGCCTTTTTGTTGAATCATCCAGCTGGTATCGAACCTCAAATGGTCAAAGTGAGTTTTCATTCCGTTTTTCCCCCAATTTATTAGGTAATGAGCGACGTTTTTAGCTTGAATTATTACTTGCGGCATCTCAGCTGTGGATAGACCCTTCCAAAATTCAGAACATATCGCATTTACTGAAATATTCCTCGATTTAAATGGGAAAATGAAGGTGTTTCTCGAAATCACGTCTGTTATTCTAGTATGCGGGCCACTACTCATGCTGGTATCCACAAATTTGTCATTTTTTCAAGAGGTAAATTTTTCCCGAACTAATCATACATCATCTTACTCCTGAAGAAATGCAATATTTTTAAAACTCGAAAGATAAAACTGAAGAATTTTCACAGCTTTTATTTATGTTTATTTTAGGGCAGATCGTTTAAGGAAATATTTGTTATAGCAGATTTGTTACATCGATAGGTCTGCCATGATTAGCATACGTTTTTGTGCCCGGAGAATATCGCAGTAAATAGAATGAAGCCTCGTGGTCGTACCTGAATTTTGTTTATCCAGTTGTCGTGCGTTATCGCACCCGCGTTTTCCGCTCGAGATTCATTCAAAAACCAGAAGATAACTTCGGTTGTAATTCGAATTCGAGGAATGATGTTCAGATGATGGTACGAGTCATTTGGTTGATGACCACGCTCACCCGCGATGCGCTTAAAATTTTGTAACTGGAGAATAATGTTTACATTTCGATTGCTTGCCGCGTAATGTATTCGTAGCTGTGTATCTGAGTTCAATGTTTTTGGTTTTTTTTTCCGCAGAATTTGATGCGTCAGTTATGTGAAGGACTCACGTACTGCCACGTACGTCGAATAGTGCATCGTGATCTCAAGCCACAAAACATATTGGTCTCAAGTGATGGCAAGTTGAAAATCGCGGACTTCGGACTCGCCCGAATGGTTTGTAATTTGTGTTTTACGCTTGAGTGGAATCTTTCGGAATTCGTCAATTAATGCGATGATTTTGTGCGTAGATGGGTCTGCCTAATAAGGCATACACGCACGAAGTGGTGACGTTGTGGTATCGAGCGCCAGAAATTTTATTGAATTTCAAGTATTACACCACGGCTGTGGACATGTGGGCAACTGGCTGCATTTTTGCGGAACTGGTGAGAAGTTGAGCATCTTCTTTCTGACCCCCCAGTGAAATTTATTCATTTTTTTACCTTTCCAAGAAAAGTGTTCACAAAATAACTTGAAATGTATATTCTCAGAAAACCCTATTTCTCCGAATGCAATTTTAATGCTTGATTCGACCTAATCCGTTGCTGTAAAATCCATTTTTCTTTTTTTGTAACCAGAGCAACAATAAGCCGCTACTTCGTGGTGATGCGGAAATCGACCAACAGTTCCGCATGTTCAAAGCCTTTGGGACACCAAGTGTTGAATCATGGCCTTCGTTGAAAACGAGTCAAGTGTCTCTTTCGAAATTCCCTGTCTGGGATCCACCGTCTGATATGCAACACCTTGTACCGAAGCTAGATGAAAAAGGAAAAGGCCTCTTCAAGGTATGTTGAAAATTCTGTCTATTCAATCAATGGTACGTTTTTATTCCGTTTTATGAGGAATAAAGCGCTTCTTTCCATTTAATTTCGACAAAGAGTTCACAGAAAAGATGTGAAACTGGAACATTTTAATTTGACATTCCATTGAACATTGGCAATCATGTTAGTTTCTAGCGTTGAAGAACTTTTGAGACGAGGAATGTTTCTTTTTTGCCTAAGTCTTAAAACATGGCATTCAATAATTTGTTCGCGAAAGCAGGTCATTGAAGTCAATTTTTTATTTTGCTATTCCTTCTTGTAAGTGCTGTGGAGCAGTGACGAATTTTGGAACCCTGTTAACGATGAGCTTTCCAGAAAGCCAACGCTTTGTTCATCTGTTTATCAAATGAGTTTGCGCGAGAATGACGTATTTTCCATCCGTGTTTGCACAGGCCATGATGGTGTACGATCCGCAGAAACGTATTTCTGCGTCTGACTCATTGAAGCATCTTTATTTCCACGATTCGGAGATGTCAGCGGACGACGGAAAAACTGAATCTGCTACATGATATTGTTGGCGGATTTTTATTTCTAAAATAATTGGTGATAGTTTTTTCAATGCAATCGGCTCTCATTGGATGCGCACGATTGTCGTGCTTTCATACATTTTTTTTTCAACGGGGTTAGCGTTGCATCAAGACTTGAATATTTTTGCATGTGCTGGAAAATTCTGAACTCGAGAAAATTCCGCGCTGTTTCGAAGTGGTGCGTGCCTTGACCCCTTGTTTTTTTCTGCTGATGAGGTTGGAAAAAAAAAGCTGTGAGAAGGGCTTATATCCGAAGAGCTCGTACAGTACTTCTACTTAGACCTTCCGCTGATCTCTGGACTCTGAAAACGGGTTACGAAGATGATGAAGTGATTTTTTATATTTCGAGTGTTTTGACATGTCAGAGAAGAACTGAGGAAGTTCTGGTGTTTCTCGCATTTTGGCTAATTTTTCGGACCTTTCATTGCAATGCTTCTCAAAGTGCGTGACAACATTTTCTTCGAATTTTTTTGCAGAATTTCCGTTCCGGGGCCGCGTTTGTGGGTCAAAGGATCCCTCGCGTGCTAGTGACCCGGACTTGGAGTTTGGATTTTCGTTTTTCTATTTCTCCGCGGGGTGTTTTTTTTTTTTTTTTTTGGTTACCGGAAAAAGTTTTAGTTGTAATTAAAATGGCGACTAACAAAAGCGGGCCTGGGCTTTACGAGTTTCTGATTGAGGCGGAACTGCAGCAGTATTACAGCGCGATGAAGACCCAGCTGCATATTCAGAACACGAACCAAATCAAGTATGCCTCGGAAGAAGATTTCGCCGGTATCGGAATGTCCAAGCCTGAGATTCGTAGACTGAAGAAGTATTTCCAAAAGTACTACCCACAGACGTACTTGAGCAAGTTCTGCAAGGTTCGTTTTCCGAGTTTTCTTTTTATTTTCTAGCCATATTTACGCGAATGGGAAACTGGAATGTGTTATTTCTAAAACGCGCTTCATTTCACTCGGCAAGGCCTTTGAACTGAAAAAAAAGATGCTAATTTTAATTTTCGTGTAATAGAATTTTGTTTCGGAATACTGTATGTGGGAAATCCAACTGGTTAGACCGAAAAGTTCACACAGTTTTTAGCGACACTTCAGGTGCTTCTCAAGTACGATGCAGTCTATAAAATCTTGCTACAGTAATTAAAACAACTCAATTTTCTGTGGATTTTCTGCAGGCAATATCGAATTATGAAGGCCATGCCAATGAAAAAAAAAAACAACTACTCAAGAAAGGTGTCGACAGCTTAAGCATTCCAATATAAATTTTCATTTATCTGTACTGTACTTGAAGATCTTTCTTCATCCTTATTATCCTCACTATTAGAAATATGTTCACTGAATTGAGGAAACGTTCTTTATAGTGATTGATTTCCTTTCTTTTTTTACCATTCTGCAAATTCAAGTCGTCATGTGTCCATTCTTCGATTTCTTTGGAATTCATGTGAAGGGTCTTCAAACTTTACATGAATACGTTTTTTTGATTGTGTATGATTCCGTCTTTTTCACATTCGCGTCGTTTTGCATTTACAGAAGCTGTTGTCCAAAAGGGACGATATTAGCGGACTCGTTGGTACTGTGCCGCCATCGCGGCAAGAAAGACCACCCGTGAAGGTTCCTTCGAAACATATTATTCCAGCTGAAGCCATCGTTGTGAACAAAGAGCTTGGTACTGGAGAATTCGGCGTGGTTCAACAAGGCATTTGGACGAACGAGGAAGGCGACCGGGTATGTACAGTGTTACTAAAAAAAAAAAACCTTAAACCGAATTTCAAACAATCTTTTTAGATTGAAAAAGATGGTTATTTAAAAAAAAGGAATTGAGCTAGGGCACATTGACACAATAGATCGATTTTTCTTAAATTCCAGTAATTTACTTTTGTGAATGCTAATTCATGAGTTTGATGATTGACTATTTTCAGATCCAAGTGGCCATCAAGTGTTTGAGCAAAGAACGAATGCAAGCTAATCCCTTGGACTTTCTCAAAGAGGCAGCCATTATGCACGGAATAGATCATGAACACATAGTGCGGCTTTATGGTGTGGTGTTGGATACAGATGCTCTCATGTTGGTGAGTCAGCTTAATTTTTCTTCATCATGAACAGGAGTGTCCTGGTTATTTATTTTAAATCCACGTGATTTTGGTTTGTTACACTATTAACGTCATAATTATTGAATTTCCAGGTTACAGAGTTGGCTCCGCTCCGATCTTTGCTTGAATGTCTGAAGGAGCCTGCGCTGCGACCATCATTCACCGTGATAACCCTTTGCGATTTTGCAATTCAGATCTGCGATGGGATGTCTTACCTCGAGTCGAAGCGACTCATTCACAGGTGAGGAATGCGTAGACTTGCGTCTGAAAATTTTGTTTGGTCTATCGTGCAAATGAAAATTTTTTCTAAGACTGCGTTTCAAGACGAAAATTTTCTTTGTGGCCCCTGAATAAATTTTTCAATTGCCTTGTTTATGACTTGCCCACAGGGATCTGGCTGCGAGGAACATTTTAGTTTTCTCCAAAAACAAAGTGAAAATTTCTGACTTCGGATTGAGCAGAGCACTGGGAGTCGGGAAAGATTATTACCAAACGAATTTCAACGTCAACTTGAAACTTCCGATTGCATGGTAAGATGTTTGTTTTGTGTAAGTGAACGAAAAATTTTTTCGTAACTTCGTGGCTTTTTTTGATTAGGTGCGCGCCGGAAAGCATAAATTACCTGCGTTTTACATCCGCCTCAGACGTGTGGGCGTACGGAGTTACTTTGTGGGAAATGTTTTCGTATGGCTTCCAACCTTGGGCTGCTCTTACTGGCCAGCAAATTCTGGAGGCGATTGATAGCCCGAATTTTCAGGTATTCAAAAATTGTCGGGTCTTAAGCATGAATGCTCTTGTTTTCTTGCGTTATCATGACAATATTTTATTATTAAAGTGAATGTCTCATTGGTTTTCGTATGATAGAAACTACGGGCGGGGTTTATTCATTCATTTGAGAATTCAGTGCTATATACGTTTTTATGCGTAAATGTTTTTATTAATTGGCTGGATAAATATTCTGTGTTTCGGTGGAAAGATTACATCTTTATTATGAAATTTAATGGTAATTGCAGTGTACAGAAATGTGATACATTCTGTGTGTGCATTTGAAATCATGAATAACTTCCTAATTTTAATTCGGATTCATTGATGTGCTTAGATCTTTTCCGCGGAGTTTCTTTATTGTGAATTTTGTTTTCAACAGAGGCTCGAACAACCGGAGCATTGCCCTCGAGAGTATTATTCGGTGATGATGAAGTGTTGGCAACACGACGCCAACAAGAGACCGAGTTTTGAGAACTTACTGACGCTGTTGCCTGAGGTAATTGCATTGCAGT